GGTACGCCTGGAAATGAACAAGCGCTTGAACGAAATGTAACAAGGCAGCATAAGACATCCCTTATTTTAACTACACAGATTATCCCATAGGTCGCTTCGCCATTTAACAAATTAACAGTTTATTTACTGTTCATTTTTACGAGCTTCATTTTATTTTTCCGGAAAAGCGTTCTGCAAAAATCCAGAAAGGGAAACATAATGACGAAGCAACTCGTAAAAGCTGATACAATTTAATCCCGTAAATCAAAAATAAGTCTATTTGGTGAAAAGGTAAGTAATGGGTCAGACTGTTGATGTACGTGAGGAGTGTATGTGAACTTAAATCTGCAAAAGGGACAAGTCAAGGGAATATCCAACTGTTTTATATTTTCCAACTCTAAATGCTACTGCATTGTTTGCAGAACTTGTTAAAAATTATTAATTGTGCCAAAACAGCATTTAAAGTATGGAGGACATTTTGTTATTCCATGGGTGGCTGTTGTTTACATCTGCCGATTATTTTTTATCTGAAAAATCAAGAAGTGCCTTGAGTCTCTTCTTCCAGGTGTTTTGGCCTTATATGGGCCGACTAACTGGAGCCTACCTTATATTGTGTTTGTTCGTTTTAGAACGTCCTTCTGTACGTTGACAACCGCAAACTTTTTGGCCATCTGACAAATCCGGACAACACTACACTGGAACATCTTCACAACGATCTTTGGGAACTGTTTGAAAATCCTCTTGTAAGGGCCGTTTGCATTTTCAGGATTGCTACAACAACTGAACATAATTCAGTCATCCACCCTGGTGGAGGACATATATTATTAAATAAAAAGTAAAATAATCCGTTTCAATTTCACGTTAGTTAAATTTCCATACCTAAAGCATTTGCGGACTCTTATTCAAGCTAACTGAAATTTCCTAAAACTTTTCCTAATTTCCACCTATTCTTCTTCTACTGAAGCGTGTATAGGTCTTGCCAATAGTCGTTTCGTAATCCTCATACTAAATTATGTTTGCTGGTAAAAAGGCATTGGGACGGTTATTTATCATGACGAAATAAGATAAACAAATTAACACCTCCGTCGACTAAAAAACATAGTAAGTGAGTAACCAAACATACCTGGCGCTTAATCTAATTCATCCTCATCTAGGACATCCACAGTTGAGGTTTTTATTTGCTCCGCATCGCTAGTGCGCCCATTTGCAGAGTTGGATTTTTGAAAGCCTATGTAGGACGAAATAATAAACAATCTGCAATGGTTCTTTCTGTTCTCAGGACTGGGAGGAGCGATATATCCATCCGGAGTACAACAAATGGGTATCTGATTCCGTGAAGCTCGGTGACTTTGAACAACCCTGCCCCGACGTATTCTGGGTGCCCCTCATGTCTGAGACCTTCTGCAAGGAGTTGGTTGAGGAGATGGAGAATTTCGGAGAGTGGTCAAATGGTACCAATTATGACTCTCGTCTGGAGGGTGGTTACGAGAATGTGCCAACTCGCGACATCCACATGAGACAAGTCGGCTGGGAGGAACACTGGCTCCACGTCCTCGGCACATACGTTCATCCCCTCCAAGTGAAACTGTTTGAGGGATATTCGGACAAGGTATGTCCCCATTCGCGCTCCAACTTCGGCTTTCTTTTAACCTCTTGTGATTTGTTATTATTATTATTATTTTTTCCTACCTTATTTCTTACAGCCCTGGGCTCGAATGAACTTTGTCGTTCGATACCACCCAACTGAACAACCTTTCCTCCGAAACCATCATGACGCTTCTACCTATACCCTTGATATGGCTCTAAACCGTGCTCATATTGACTATCAGGTAACATAGCATCCTATATCATGTTTATTATTTCGAAAATTATTATTGCTCCATCAATTGAATCATCCTTGTATTTTTTGCCTTCGGCGTGACAGTGCCTTAGAAGTTGTCCCTTGCACTTCGATCTTGTTTTAACCCACGCGCTCCCACTCAGCTTGGATGTGAGTC